AGACATGTAATATCTTAATCAATTAAAAAAGTTAAAAAAATAGAACTAGAAAAAAAAAAGATTTCTGCTGAGTGACCCACGTCTAGGAGATTTACTGTGGTTTTTTTCTTGTGGCTTTTCCCGGCCCTACCCGAGCCTTTCTAAATATGTACTGTCCCCCCTTCCACCCAGAAATAAGCGATGCTGCCCCGCAAGGCCTGGAGAAGGAGCCCTGCAGGCCTCCTTGGGGACCTGCCCCATCTCCCAAGTCAATCCCAAGCCCAGGAATTGCTTTGGCAGGCCAGTGGTGCCCTCTACTGGTCCTGGAGCGCCAATGCAAGCCTCCTCCCCACCCCCCACCCCCTTCAGCTGCCGCCTCCGGGGAAAGCAGAGCCAGGTGCCTGGACCTCCCCAGGTGTGAGTAGACCTGAGGGCGGAAGGTCCAGCCAGGGGCGCTCTCTGTGAGAAGGCAGGAGCTCGTGTGTGTGTGTGTGTGTGTGTGTGTTGGGGGGAGGGTGTGCCATCAGATGCAGTCCTACAATTGAAATCCACAAGTGTGCCTGTGTGGCCTCGGATGTACACACACGGAGCACAATGTCGGGCACCGAGATTTCTGCCGAGTGACCCACGTCTGGGAGACCCACTATGGCTTTTTGCCTGGTGGCTCAGGCCTGTGTATCATATTTGATGCTCAGCTGAGATTCTGATCACACCTACAGTACAATTGACCTCGTTGGTTTTTAAAAAACAGACGTCATAGGGCACATATGAGGGACGGTATCCTAAAATTTTTTGTAGGTCTAGCAGCATGGGTTTCTTGTATCCAAAATGTTGCATCACTAGATCCAAAGCCTCTGGCCCCTCTGGCTTCCTGGGTAACAGTTGTCCCTATTTTATGTATGTATTGGTAACAGGAGTAATTGGGCAATTCTCTGGTTGGGCTGAATCTGTATAGTTGTGGAGGTTGAGGAAAGTAAAATCTGTATTTTTCTGTGTAGTCTGCATCAACAACTCCTGGGATGACTAAGATCCCCTGTAACGAGGTGGAGCTCCATCCTAATATTATACCTACAGTTCCCTCAGGCAGTGGCCCGGACACACCCTGTAGGAATGGCTGCTACTGGCGAGTCTGGGGTTAGTATTGCGTGGGTGGTTGAATGGAGGTCCAATCCTTCACTGCCTGGGGTTGCCCTGAAGAGGTTAGTTAGTTAGTTAGTTAGTTAGTTAGTTAGTTAGTTAGTTAGTTAGTTAGTTAGTTAGTTAGTTAGTTAGTTAGTTAGTTAGTTAGTTAGTTAGTTAGTTAGTTAGTTAGTTAGTTAGTTAGTTAGTTAGTTAGTTAGTTAGTTAGTTAGTTAGTTAGTTAGTTAGTTAGTTAGTTAGTTAGTTAGTTAGTTAGTTAGTTAGTTAGTTAGTTAGTTAGTTAGTTAGTTAGTTAGTTAGTTAGTTAGTTAGTTAGTTAGTTAGTTAGTTAGTTAGTTAGTTAGTTAGTTAGTTAGTTAGTTAGTTAGTTAGTTAGTTAGTTAGTTAGTTAGTTAGTTAGTTAGTTAGTTAGTTAGTTAGTTAGTTAGTTAGTTAGTTAGTTAGTTAGTTAGTTAGTTAGTTAGTTAGTTAGTTAGTTAGTTAGTTAGTTAGTTAGTTAGTTAGTTAGTTAGTTAGTTAGTTAGTTAGTTAGTTAGTTAGTTAGTTAGTTAGTTAGTTAGTTAGTTAGTTAGTTAGTTAGTTAGTTAGTTAGTTAGTTAGTTATTTTTGTCTAAATGTTTTTATTTGAAACAAATAGGTGTACCATGGAAGCACTTACTTTTCCCCACTCCAAATTAAAACAGAGCACATTAGGGGCATACATCATTTGGCAGGACAGTTCCAATAGGTGAACATCCTTCTACTCACTGTGGTTGGGTTAACTTTACTCATAAGCAAGCAGTCATTCTTAGACAAAATATTAACCCCAAAGTACTAACGTCACATAAAAGGAAGTGGTCTTAATTTCATTTATGGGGCAGTATGTTTTATAAATGCCAAAATGTGGGAGAAGCACAAACACAACCCACTCTTTAAAAAAACTAAATAGTTCAAAGTAGAATTTTCCATTCCCCGCTTTCTGCTGTAATAAAAAGTAGTTCTGGGATCTGACCCCAGATTTGGTTTTTTTCTGTCCCGTTTACAAAGTGTTTGCCCATATGACTTGCATCATTAGGGTTATGGGTAATAGTCCATTCACTGTGAAGAGGTGTATCTATTCCTTCCTCCTCTTTTTGCCTTCATGCTCATGTTCCTTGGGGCGGCTGCTATCTGAGGGTCTTTTAGAGCCACCGTGCTGTTTGGCTTCTTCCAAGAACTTGTCCAAACCAAAAGGATCTTCCTCAAACTGAACTGGTCCTTCTCTACCTCTTTGCTTACAGTCTGAACCAGAAAACTCCTTTTCAGGAACGAACCTGTTGGTCTTTATTCTGGCTTCTAGATCATCACCATACATGTCCTTATCCAGATTTTTACTGGGCCTGTAAATATTCTGGGCCATATCTTTACCACCTCTCCAGGCTTGATCATTAACATTGTAAATTTCATCTTCTCCACCTGCAAAACCACTGTCCATGCCCTTGGATTGGTTGAACAGCCTTTGGTCATATTGAACTTCATTGGAAGTCCGAGGATTGGGCACACCAAGAGCAATGACCTCACTGATATCTCGATTTTCATTTTCTCTACAGTTTCGACCTCTTATCAGGTGCTGCCCTGGATAGTTTCCGGTCATGCTGTCTCTCCTTCCGCCTGTCATGCCGAATTTCATCCCTCTCACATGCCTCCCCATCCTCTTTTTCCACATGGGTTTTGATCTCAGCTCTTCTCTCCCTAGCCTTCTGGGCCATTTCTCTCAGTTTCTCTTCATGTCTCACTTTTTTATTTTTGAGCCATCTTTCTCTCTACTTGAGCACGCATTTCCACAGCTTCACGAGCCTTCCGATCAGCAGTGTAGAGGGTTTTAGCCAGTTTAGCAAAATTTTCATTGATGTGAACTGTCTGCAATCCTCTTCCATCAGCAGCCAGACATTTGTCTAATGGAATTGCATAACCCTTTGCATTTTTCCAGTTTGAAATACACGGAGGAATCTCCCACTCTTGTTGTTCCTTCACAGTCATCTTTCGGCTAGGAGAATGCATGACAGGTGCATGAGGAGAAGGTGGTCCTCGGGGAATTTTCTTATTAATCTTGAACCTTGGAGGTTCCATTGGATCTTTCTGTATTTCCACCATACGAAACACCCTCTGTTTTGCTCCAGAGTAGAAAGCCACTCCTTGCTGAGATGGTGTGTATCGGATATACTGAGCAGGAGCCAGTTTATCAGCTGCTCGAACTGGCATGGCCGCAGCAACCTTCTGTGATACAGATTTTTCCAAGGCCACCCTTGTCTTTTCTGTTATCTCTGTAATAGCTTCTTCATCAGGTCTTTGCAGGTCTGGGTCATCTGCATTCATGACCTCCTTAGGAACCTGGTCAGTGTACTTGCTAAAAATGACCTTGTCTTTTGACTGTCCTTGCCGAGCAATTGCATCATATTCAATTTTTCCTTCAGCATCCACCTGAATGGCCAGTACATTTGACATTTTTTTCTTTCGTCCCATATCCAGTGGATACTGGGCCACATGAATCTCTGGAAAAGCACCTCCACCTCCAAAATCCTCTAATAACCGAGGTATCCAGCCTTGCCGGAACCCATACGGGGGAGGTTCTCTTCGGGAGGCGACCAGTGAGGTCTGCCGTGATCTCAGGGATCTTGCCTTTTCTTCAGGCTCAAGCTGGTCCTGAGATAGCTGAGTAGGTGCAGGTGAAAAGCTGGTGAGCGCCATCTTCTTCTGCTTGTTTTCAGTGCCCATGACAGCACAGCGGGCAGCACACTGTTTTATAAAATCATTTATAGTTCCCATTCTGCGAATCAGCCTTAATAAAGCCTGACAGGTATTTTTAGCATTTTCAAAAGCCAGTTGTTTGATTAGGATTATCGGCTGCCTCTTCATTAGTGATTACTCTCTTGACTGCTTGTATGAGGCAAGAAAGAAAATCCTGATATGCTTCCTCGACCTTCTGTTTAACCTCTGTAAGGGTGGTTGTTTTTCCTACTGTACAAGGTAGGGATTTTCAGGCATTTACTGCACAACAGGTTACTTTAATAAGTGCCTCATTGGGGATATACATTTGCTCCTGAGCCGTGATAAAATCACCTTCTCCTAATATCGTGTCTAGGGTTATTCCTCCTCTGAAATTTGTGCTAGTGGCTACAGCTCTCTTAGCAAGATCATCATATTCAGTTTTCCATAATAAGTAATCGCCTCCTGAGAGACAGGCTTTACAAACCTGTGACCAGTCATAAGGAGTCATCCATTGACTGGCTAGGGCTTCTACCAAGGTTTGTGTGTAAGGAGCTAGAGGTCCATATTCAGAGCTGGCCAATTTTAGTTCTTTAAGTATTTTGTAAGGTATAGACTCCCAGGTGGGGTTTTCGTCCTCACCTAACTCATTCTCATATGCATCTGGGAAGCAGAGTGAGAAGTCAAGATCTCCATTAGCTTCAGCTTTTCTTATCGCCCTTTGAAATTTAGACATGGAGCTCAGAGGAGCCGGAGAACCTGATTTAGGCTTCCTTTCTAATTTAGGGAGCCTGTTATGAATGGGGGGGCTCTCTCCTCTCTACTGACTGGAAAGCACCAAGGGTCATGTTTGTGTTCCAGCCTACTAGAAAACTGAAATGATACCATGCTTGGAAAATTTCTAATATACCATGAGAACATAGAGCTATTAGTTCTTTCATAATTTCTCCTCCTTCCCCAGAGAAAAATGATACAAAGAGCAATAAATGAAGTTAAAGGCAAGCACTGAAGGAGGAGGAGATTGCTCTATTTTTATCAGTAGAAGGGGGAAGGGAGTTGCTTGATTTTAATCCAAAGGGTGGCATTGCCCCAGGAAGATTAGTTCAATATTATTTACTTACTATTTTTTAAAGGCTAAGGTGTTAATTTAGCTGGTGATTTCAGGGTCAGACACTGTACAAATATAAACAAATTAAATCACCTAGACTGGAGAACAGGGAAGGCTGACCAAGGAGGCCCAAAGGAAGCCTCATTCATCAGAGCCCAAGTCACTGTCCCCAGCAATCGAGTGGAAATCCTCACTGTCCTCCTCGCCCTCTTATAGGTGGACCTGGCATAGTACCCTTGGCCCAGAGCACTGCTCTTCCTCCTCATCTTCTTCCTCCTCTGATACCTCATGCCTACCGATGCTGCTGAAGCTTGTGTCTTGGGTGTTCGACTTGGGGTCGGGCTCCTCATAGCTCCCGTAACTGATGTTGCTATCCTCCAAACCATGAGAAGCCGCCCCACCATCTCCCTCATAGGACATCATGCTTTCTTCATTTTCCATGCCCATCCTTATGTTCTCCTGAAGCATGCGGGGCTGTTTGGGTATCATCCCACCGGATCCCACATCAGAGTCACTTCCACTTTCACTCAGTTGGATAGCAGAGAAAGGATTATCTCCTTCTTCGTCACTGCCAGCATCTTCCTCATCATCTTCTCCTTCAGACATAAGCAAATCCTCATACAGGACACTGGCTTGAGGCTGTTACACGGTTCCTTCCTCTTCATCTGCAAGATCGCCATCTGCATCTTCACCTTCCTGTGTCACCTGCTTTTCTGGAGTGGTAGTGGGAATATCCAGGACAGACAATATCGCTCCCATCTTGAAATACAGAGGCATCTTGAGACATACTGAGGGATGTGCTGGTATCATATAAATCAGGTGGCTGAGGTGCATAAGGCCCTGGGGTCATTGGGTCCAAACTGTCTAATTCTGCTTCTTCCAAAGCTGCTTCTTTAGCTGTACAAATATCCTTCTCAAGTTGAGTCAAATGTTCGTTATAATCAGTCAATGTCTGGCAACAGACATTCACAATCTCCTGAGCAGTCTTAGTATACTGACTTTCAGGCCCATTGTACTTAACACTGTTAGAAAGGATAAGGTTGACATCATCTGGGAAGCTCTTTCGACTCTGATACTTGTGCTTGGATATATTCTTACATATAGTCTTTAAATCCATTGGACTGACAATCACTTCATAACAATCTGGAACAAACTTCTTATTAACGGGGTGATGAAATGGCCAAGAATCTGGATCTGCCATCATTTTCAGGGTGAGAATATTATCCAGAATAAAAGAAAATGTCACTGGGTCATTATCATCCAACAAGGGATTGATAGCTTTCTCTAAACGAGCCAATTTGTCTTCTCTCTCTCTGAGTTTTTCATCACAGAAATCCAGCTTGGATTGAGAGATCTGGGTCAATGAGTGCTTTGGCCCATTGTCGCTTGTACTATTTTTCACAATGAGCTCCAAATGCTCTCTGAAGCCTTCCCGAGATGGCTAGAGGCATTTACACACATTTTCACAAAGTGTCTGTAAGTCCATTGGTCGAGTAATAATTTTGTAGTAGTCCTTTACAACCTTCCGATTGACTGGAGTGTGGAAAGGGGTAAGTATTTGGAAGATCTCTCATGTCGTTGATGATAGACTCCAAGATAGATGACAGTGTCACCCTGGGGTCTGTCCGGCGCCCGTGGATGGTCTTATGAGGTCTATTCAAATAGTCACAGTGGGAGTGGTTCCAACTCGCCGTTTCTTCTTAGGAGGGAGTTGCTGTTTAGGGAACTTGAGAACCAGAGACTTTCTGCGAACCTCATCTGCACTCTCAGTTAGCTGGTTCCCCAAAACAATCTTGGTCCCTTCAACCTTGATAAGTCCTCCACTATCATTATGAATGACCGTCTTTTCCAACTCCTCTTCCTGTCCCTCTGTCATGGCAACAGGATCAGAAGGTGGAGCACTTGTTGGATAATAGAGGGGGCAGCATCTGTTTGTCCTCATGTGCCCAACGGCTCCACAGGCCCCACATTTCAGTTTTAGGGCAGGACGCTCTTTCAACTTCTTTGGCTTTTTCTCAGGAGGACCCTTAAGGGTCTTCTTCTCCTGGTTCCGCTTAAGCCGCCTCAGCTGCTCTTGAATCCTCCGCCGTTCTTTTCGCATCTCTTCTCGATGCTGTTCATCAAGAGGGGCGAATTTTCGAATGACCTCCTCACTTTTTGTAGTCCGTATGCGCACATAGGCATCTATGACAGCTGGATTTCGGACCATCTCACAGCGAACATATTCTTTCCCCTCTTCATCTCGAAATGTGCGATAAATCTTGAGACAACGGCCAGTGGCAGAAGAGTTCCGGCTAGTCACAGAAGCCGTATCATCATCTCTGTGATTGTTTCCTGCTGCTGCCGAACCTGCTGCCAGTAGCATCCTCTGTAGTTCCTTCCGCTCCTGCTGCTCCGGTTCCCGTGACAGCTGAGAGCTGGTTTTCTTATTCTGCAACATGCTCTCTATAGCCTTCCCCATTTCTTCAAAGTCACTGTCTTCAGCTGAGCTGCTATCTGTATCAGTTGATAAGACTTCAGTTGACGACAAAACCTTGTTTTGTAGGTCAAAGATGCGTTGACATTCCTCTTTGTAACGTTCTTGATGCTCAGCCACAGAAAGCCTTGATCCACGGGCAAATTTACTCATTGGCCCTTCCCCAGAGTGGGCCTGTTCTGTTGACATGGTGCGCACCATATCAATCACTTCCCAGCGGGACAACTTTTTAATCTCTTCCTCAGGCATGCCAAATTTATGTAGAAGTTGCTTGGCGTTTTTCAAAGAGAGGCGACGGAGGTCTGCATCTGTTCCTGTCACTGTTTTCTTCACTGGCTGAGGCTCTTTATCATCCTTCTGTTGTGTTGGTTTGTTTGGAATCTTCACATAGGAAAATCCTTCGCCACACCCTGTGGGATCTGCCACCCCAGTCACCTGCAAGCGACACTTGCCCTTCATGGCAGCAATGAAGGCCCTTGTGGTGTTCCAAGGAGCCGTGCGAACCTCATCATCAGTCTTCATCTGGAAATCTTCCTCGTTTTCTTCTTCTGGAGCAAAAAAGGACTTCTCGCCATAGCCAGCATCCTTGAGTCGCTGCTCTGCAGCTCTCATACTGTAATAAGCACAGCACTGCTCTGGAGACACCATAGCTCTGATCTCCTCTTCAGTTGGTAAACGAAAATCAGACTTCAGCACCCACCAATTTGAGTCCATCCCTGTGCGTTTGAAGTCAGCACAGAGCTTTAGCCTCTTCCGGATGCTGCTTTCTGAATGAGAGGGAAAGGCTTTTTTTATATCTTCCATTCGGATCCGCCGTGGCCGATCTGCACTCTTCCAGAAGAGGCGGTAAATAAAAACCTGCCCAACGAACCAAATTTTTTTATGTGGCAAAGTAAAGAATAACAGTCACCAGGAACCCTCCCTCTACTACACCCCTATGTGTTTTGATTTTTCCTGATGTGCCCCCAAATACACATACCCTTTTATGTGTATCCTGATCCCCTCCTTATCCTCTCCTTCTTACCTGGAGAAAATCTCGAATATGTGTATTGGCCCTTTTGGAGTTGGGCCCAGGAACTTCAAACAAGGGGCACTGCTGGCCAACCACAAAGATATCCACCAGTTCCCGAATGTAGTAACCTTGCCTTGTCCGAATGATCAGGAAATCGGTTTCTGGCATCTTATGAAGATAAATTGGGGCACGAAAGAGATTGTTCTCAAACGCCTGCAGCAACTGGCCAGGGTGGAGAGAGCCCAGGAAAGGAGAGGTATGGCAGTAAACAGTTTCTCCATATTTACAATCTGGGGCCCCGGGATCTTTTCCAGGTTTCCGCTTATAATAGTTTTTGATCTTGGTTGCCATGCCAACCTGCATCATTAACGGTCCATTTTCCTCACTGTATTCTGCTAGAATAAGATCTCCATCTTTGCCTGTGAGGTCCTGAGATGTGCGCATAAAAAGCATCTCTCCACCACCTGAAGCCTGCCTCTCTTGTTCTCTCATCTTAGCCTTCTCTCTTAAGTGCTTTAGCAAGGGTTGGACTGAGTGGGGACCTGGCTGAGACAATGCCCCAAAGGAGTACTTCTTCAGAGCTGGGCGATGGAATTGCCGGAGTTTGAGGGACCCCATATGGGTGGGAAAGAAGGGCTGCCGTAATTCCACAGCAGGAATTGAGTGCTGGATACCATTTCCTCCAAAAGTGCCTTGAAGACGCTGTTGCTTGGGGTAGTAATATTCATCATTGGAGAGATTCCATGGATCTTTCACTTCTGGCTGAGACCTGTTCTGCTGTGGTTCCTCCTTGGTGACTCCTATTTTCCCTAAGAGAATTCGACTCTTCTTTGGAGATGATTCCTTTTTACTCTCCTTGGAGGGGGAGTTAGATGTGGCCTCTTCCCCCTCATCAGGAATTTCCAAAATGAGATTCTCATCATTGGGATCAAGTGTCAAAACAGGAGGCTCCAACATCCGGGGCATGGCCTGAGCATCCCAAATAATGTTGTCCTCCCAACGTCCATACGCCAGCTCCTCATTGTCAATGGGAAAAATGGAGTACCAAGGCTTGTCATCATCCAGGGTGGCTGCACAACCTTGCTGAACATTGTAAGCCCTGGCATTTCTAGTCGTGCTGGAAGGAATCCAGCCTGCCAGGCTTGCACGCTGAGGTCTTGTCCCTTTGTGTTTGACATCCTCCCCATCCCAGATGATATCATCCTCCCAATGCAGTTGTGTCGCCATCAGGAAGTTTTCATCAGCCAGAAGATCAGTGCC